TTAGGTATACAGCCATTTTAGGAGTGGTTGCAGTGTTTTATTTATACCTGTTACTATCTGAAAAATCTTTCAGAATTTTCTTCATATTAAGCATTTCACAAATGCTGGCGTTTGTTTCTCCCAGAATCTTGGCCTGCAATCCTTCAGATGAAAGTGGTCACTCACGTCATGACTTTTTTGTAGCCTATTGCTGTATGCAAAATTGGCTGTGGAATACACGGTCACTACACTTTACAATAAAACCCCTGTGATACACTTCAAGGTGTTCCACGAAGTGACAAGGACCTATATCCTTTGCCTGGATGATTATTAGAAATTAAGCCTCCCTAATAACTTTGTGATAGTGCTTGTAAATAATAGCATTAAATAGGTTGTAATATATGGTAGATTGGTACTTTATGATACTTTCATTGAACTTCTTTCTATATTGGAATGCATTACATCAACAGAAGTGCATAGAGTGAAGTCAATGAAGATATCTGATGGTTTTTTTAACAATCATAATTATTAGAATGTTGGATTTTTAGATGTCAATTCTAGGTAAATATAATTGCAGTAAAATATTATTTGACACTTATTCCTGTGAAATATTGTCTGATGGTATAGCCTTGATGTTGGAGCTAAAAGCATTCCTGCCAGGTACTCAACAGAGCATGACATTTACCAAAGGGATATTTAAATGCATCAAGCTATCACTGCTAGACATTTTGTTAAATTACTTCAAACATAACTAAAACACACCGTTTCCCTCACTAAAAACAGACCTTGAACCATGCTGGTTTGCTGCATTGTGGATTCCGTAATAATTGTGATCGTCCTTGAAGTGGCTTACAAAGTTATCAGATAAATGTATTTTCTTTTGAAAATCTTGTTATTGTTTCTGTTAACAGATTTCACTTGCCAGCATTTTCAATCCAAAATGGAATCTTTTTTGACTCTGCCTGTTACAATTCATACTCACATTTATATTGTTTTTGTAGTGAGACACGGATTTATTTTAAAAAATGTAGTTTGATTTACGCTATTCCTTAACACCATTCCTTAAAAAGAAATCCCATTCGAATTCCTGTCGACATCCAGTAAGTAACTAGCTCACTTCAGAACAGAGTTCCTGCAGGTTGGTGTGACTTGCTTCCAGTTCAAGTTCCTATTTGCGTGACTCGGATTCATTATAAAGGAATCCTATTACGAAACCTGAAAATTAGACCCTCATATTGCCATAAGGATATTAAATTCAGTTAAGTGGTCCATTACTCATTAATAAAAACCCAGTTGAAAGCTTACTGTAGTTATGTTAGAGACAAGATGTGTCGTAGTCTGATGTGTGATATGATCAAGACCTTTACCTTTTTGGCTATGCCAGGTATAAGTTTCTGACTTAGGAATGATCCTGGTTGTATCTCATGGCTGGCTGTGAAACCACATCTGTTTAAGTGGTTGTAACATAATGCTTCATGAGCTGCTAGGATCATGAACCTGCCTTCTATGGGAGACTATTGGCCAGGGTTAGCTGGCAGGTAGTGTTGTGGAGCAAATTAAAAAAACTACTGGGAATAAGCGGCAGGTTGATCAGCACCTGAAGAAGAAAAAGATATGTTATTGATTGGATTTGTAAATATGGGATGTTGGATGGCCAACCCTCTGCAACTTCGCTCGGACACTTTATTTCTCTGAGGGAACAGGAAGCACTGCAAACTTAGAGATTTAATAAAGTAAAGGAAGAAAGTAGGGAAAGACCTTTCACGCAAGGTACTTGTTTCCTGGCATCCACATAGCAGTAACATAATCGAATCTTAGAGATAGCCACAAGCCAGTCCTTACTGACTGAAGAGTGTTGGTGAACGGGGATTCTTTAACCAAAGGGTGAAATAATATAGTTTTGTCAATATACTTACTGTGGCTAATATAGTTATTATAACAATAATAATACTTGCATTTGATACAGGACCTTGTCATGTCATTGAAATGTCTCAAAGAGCTTCATAGGAGGCTGAATTTTGGGCTTTATCTTATTATCATACCACTCAAATTGTTTAGTTAATAAAAACGTTTCTTTCGTTTTTTTTAAAAAGTATGCACAATTTGGCTAATCGTTGGACACATTTTATTTACACTACAGTGAACATGTTGTACCCTGGTTCTATACAATAATGTCACACTTAATTTCAAAATATTATTGAGATGAAAAGCATTGACTTTACAATAGGATTTTTCTGTGACCTTATTCCCAAATGATGCTGAGTTTGTAGGACTCCTGGGAAATCCTTTTGATGTGGGTGGAGTACTATTTACCTATGTGTTAAACCTGAATTAATGAATAATAAACAGATAAATCCAGTCTCCCATTGATTTATCCACTTGAGGATTGCAGTTGTGTTTAGTGCATCATCCTAACAATAAAGTATCTTCTCCATCTATTTTTATTTCTGGCAAGATTATTAATGAGCTAATCCTTTTCCCACCCATTGTTAATTGTATAAATACACCATATGATGTGAACCACGTCGACCAGGAAAGGCTCACGTTGAACCCCTGGGGTCTGTTGTTAGCTGGTTTCAACCAGTGAGATACAATACCAGGGGCCTGCATTCATTCCCCAGCTAGGGACGGAAGCCAGCAATTTCACTTCTGATTGATTTCCAGTTTGTTTGTGTATGTTTGTTTATGTCCATGCATGTGTTGTGTTTGAATGTGTGTATACATGTCTGTGTGTGCATTAGTGTCCGTGTGTGTCATGAAGTGTGTGTATGTGTATATTTTATGTGTGTGTGACTATGTCCATTCTTGTTTTATGTGTGTGTGTATGAGTGTGCATGTATCTGCCGATGTTGAGTAAGAAAAATGTTAAGCTTGGTTGTGACTGTCCCTACAGTCAAATAGCCTGTCAGCATCCTATCCAGGCTGGCATATCGAAAACGGTCACTTGGGTGAGATTGTCTAGGTTTGCTACCCATGTGAACCATTCTGCAGTACAAGTCATAGCTTTCAGGAGAATAGAGGTTTGGGGAGAAAATTGGAGGAGAAAAAAAACAATATTTGTTTTGATTTCATTTCCCTGCAACATAGAGTACTTGAGATTCCATTTTATGAAGTAATCTTTCATCCGGAAGGTGTTGAAAGAAAATCATTGGGCTGCAGAAATGTCATAAAAATTCTATAGTTGAAAGGATTCGTAGCAAAATTAGTCCATGCTGGGCTTCTTAGGACATTCGTAAGCAGGTCAGTACCACAGAATATTGATAATATTGTAGGTGTATGTTGATGCTGGATAAATACAGAATTAGGCTTGGCTGTTATTGTTCTGAAACCAGATTGCAAAGGATTATTCAGACTTAGTATAAAAAGCTGTCTTTCTCAGTTCCTCAGATAGTGTTGAGAGTCCTGACTAGAATTTGAGGCAATTCACTTTGTCAGGAAAAATAAAGAAGCAATATATAGTCTAGATCAGAGATTGCCCACATGCGGTCCCTGGGCTGCATGCGACCCACAGGCCAGGCTGGCCATCCCTGGTCTAGATGGTAGGAACCTAAGAGGATTAGAGGAGCAGAAATTGCTCTATTCCTAGAGGAAATAGGGATTCAGATCCACAAATCTCTAAAAGTAGCTACACATGTAGATAAGGCTATTAAAAAAAGGCTAGTGAGGTTTTGGACTTTATTATCCATAGGGATGGAATATAAAAGTGAGAAGGTGACGTTGAATTAATACAAATCCTTGATTAGACCACATTTGGAGTATTGTGTCCAATTCTAATCTCCACATTATAAGAAGGATATAGCACCGATGGAAAGATATAGCGTAAGTTTACAAGGATGAATCCAGGTTACCGCTATCAGGACAGACAGAATAGTTTAGGCCTTTTTTTGCTTGAGTAGAGACGTTTACAAGGTTTAAAATTATAAAGTGCTTTGATAAGGTTAACATAAATAGGCTGTTTCCACTGTCGGGGAGTCGTAACCAGGGGACCACAGTATAGGATAGTGACGGGGGTACTACTTCACCCAGAGGCTAGAGATTGTGGAACTTGCTGCTCAAAGCTGTGGAATCAAATAGAGTAGATGCATTCAAGAAGAAGTTAGACTTTCACATGAGAGAGAGGGGAATAGAAGGGTATGGGAAAGAGTAAGGAATGGATGGAGATTCTTGTGCAGTATGAACAATGGCACATACAGGTTGGGCCGATGGGCTTGTTTCCGTGATGTACAATCTTTGCAAATCTTTGTCTTTGTGTACCCAATGGATTTGCACACTTATCCCCCCCAGCTCAGTGTCGTGCTCCGCCACTGTCAAGCTCTTTGGGAGGCTACCTTGGGTGAGGAGTGCAATGTAAATGCAAGTTGTTGTTGTTCTTATTCTACTACATCCGAACGACTGCTGGAAATGTCAATCTCTTTTGCCAGGACTCTGAATCATTTGAAACTTCCTCCTGAAGTGAAAGGTGCTTTGTTAGTCTAAATTGTGTTGTGTGAATTGGCCAGTCCCCAGCCAGTGCACTTCTGTCACCAACTATCTGCTGCTTCCTCCAGCCTGCACATAGCTGGCTCACATCTTCATTTAGTAAATTTTTCCCTACATACTCTTGTCAGTGTGCAGGAGTCAACTAGCTGTCGAAATCAAACACAAAAGTAACGATAAAGAAATATACTGGACACGCATCAGTACTGATGTACATACATGCAAGAGCAGAAAATGTGTTGTATTAGCAGCAATGAATTAGAGAACAACTCACAGCTAAAGTGATTGTTGTTCAGGAATTGAATCATGGTTTACAAACATCAATGTGCCTGAGAATATGAGGTTAGCTCCCTCATACAGCACTGCAAACACCCTCAGAATACAGATGTCATGTGGCTGTCAGAACTGAAGCAAAAATATAGAATGACTGATTTTTTTGTCACTTTAGCCTGATCCTGGAGCGAGGAACAGGTTTTCTCTCACTGTGCACTGCTGTCATATGCGATGTACATTATTGATGTTGATAATGTAACTGTTTTTCACAGGCTATGGATTCGTAGACTTTGACAGTCCAGCAGCTGCACAGAAGGCAGTGGCATCTCTCAAAGCCAGTGGAGTACAGGCTCAAATGGCAAAGGTGAGCACTCATTGACAAGTGGGCAATTCGTTGTGTGATTAGCAGTATTTCCCCACCAGGATTGTAAATGCCTGTGGATGCAATAAGTTGTTAAATAATTCTCATAGTGCAATGCTATCATTGTCTGGTTTATAATGAAACTTGTGCATTCATAGTTGCGAATATATATGCACATGTTGTTGAAACAGACACAGATATACACACAGAGAGGCAAATTGCACTCTTATGGAGAGTCGCACACATACAAAGATGTACCTAAATTTAGATACAGGCAAGCAAACACCTATAAATGAGCGTACAAACAATCACAGAGATACACATACAAATGTAGTACTAAAACACAGATATATGCCCACATTCATATGTGCACGCACATACACGCACACATGCACACACAGTCTTGCTTTCAGGTTTGCTAACAACAAATGGAATGTTCAATATTGTTTATAAAGATGATAGTTTGCGAATGATGCACCTCAGAATATCGATGGAGACTCATGTTTTTAAAGGAGCACGTTCATTGAGTGAAACTATTAGAAGAACCTATATTCCTAATAGTGATCAGCAAGTGGCAAAATGCTGGCATTTTCCTCACAGTTGGGTGGAATTTGCAAGATTCTCAAAAGAATTTGTGAGTAACAAATCATGAAGCTTCCCAGATGAATGGCAAGTTGATACTCTGGAGCTTTGCTCAGACACTGAACCCCCCCCCCCCCCCCCCGAATGGATGGCTCCCTTGCGTTTACTTTTTCAATTGATTTTGGGACAAACCATTGTGCTGAAGGTGGGAAGGGGGCAAGTGTTCATTCTCAAACTTGTTGATAGTTGAAACAGATTCAAATCCTATGTTTTGGGTGATACAGTGTTTGCATTCTTCATCCAAACAACAGAAAATGGGGGAAACGCACAGCAAAGTGATCAGAATCTGAAAGAAACAGTACGGTTAACATCTCACATTTGACCATCCATCCGAATTTCTGCAGTTTAGTTATTTCATTTCTGATGAAATGCCTGGGGAAGACTTTGCTGGGCATCCTGTTGTGTGGCATATCTGAGTTAACTGCTGCTCTTGACAGAAGAACCTTCCCTCATCTGTTATCAACAGCAGCAACAAATTGGGGATGTGCTGCCTAGCCTGAGGCCTGTGGAAACACATAACTCCTGCCCATAATGAAGACATGTTTGAGAGAACTGTTTTAATTGTATGAGAATGAGACAGTCGGGGTCTTTAAGTATAAACTCACTTCTTTCAACTTCACATTTTGCCAGAGTAAATGCAGTCTGCAGCTATCAAGCAAGTTCTCAGACACTGTGATCTCCCCAACTACATGATCCTTTCCTTCTGGGGATTTTGCCTTTGTTTGATGTCTATGATAGCTTTACTTGTTTGAAAGATCTGGTTGACTTATTTTACTGTATTGTAGTTTCCATGACATGTTGTGAGGTGGCCACGGCCTTGAGGAGCAGTTATCTCAGTTAGCCACAGTTGCTAAAAGGACTGGCTTCCATATTGAGACTGAATTTAAGAATTTGTCATAATTCTATGTAATTTGGCATTTTAAGACAAAATTATATTACATGAAATTTCAGTCCATTAAACCTCTAGTTTGCATTATAAAATTGTCAAGTATGGTGGCTAATATGATGACAGGGTGATGTAGTCAGATGTTTGTGGGTTCAATTCACAATGAAAACTTGGAACTCATATAGTCTAGGCTGATACTCCAATAAAATTGGTGACTATGATTGTACATGTGAAATTGCTATGTGCCCTGCTTCATCCACAATATACAGTCACTGCACTTTACAGCATACAGGATATTATATATATAGATTCAAACCCATACGCTTGTCAGGTGCTTATTGCTTGCTTATCAGACATTAAGGCCTGGATGAACATAAATTTTCTGCAGTTGAATGTTGACTTGACTGAAGCCAGAGTGCTTGACTCCCATCGACGACTTTTCTCCTGTAGCCACGATCTCTTCAACCTCCCTGGCCTATCCCTCTGATTCACTGAATCTGTGCATAACCTAGGCATCAGGTTCAACCCCCAGCTATCCTTCCTTCCCCACATTCAGTCCCTGACCAGGTCCACCTTCCTCTACCACTGTCACATTGACTGCCTCTCCTGTACCTCACCCCCAATTCAGCCAAAACTCTTATTCACGCATTTATGACCTTCTGCTTTGACTTTTCCAATGCTCTCCTCACCGGTCTCCCCAGTTCCACTATCCACAAACTACAATTAATTCAAAGCTCCACTGCCCGTATTCTCCCTTGTATGAAACTCCATACCCCATCAACTCAGTCTTTGCCACACTCCACTGGTTCCCTATCACAGAACTGATAGACTTCAAGATTCTCTCACTTGTTTTAAAATCTCTTCATATGCTGGCATCTCCCTACCTCTCCAACCTGCTTATTCCCCATTCCCATCATCCCGCCGCCTCCTATCGGCTGGCTCCAGTCTCCTGCATGTCCCTCATCCTCTCCATTTCACCATTGGAGGGCGAGTTATGCCCCAAAACTATGGAACTCTCTACCTCAGTCCCTCTGCCTTGCCTCCTCCTTCTCCATCTTCAGATTACACCTGAAGACCTTCCTCTTCAACAGTGCCTATGGTCAGCTTCCCCCACCCCCCAGCTCGGCGTCAAGCTCTGCTACTGTTAAGCACTCTGAGACTCTACCCTGCTTGATGGGCCTTGTATGAATGCAAGTTATTGTTATTGTCTGCTACTTCCGCTTCTAGACTTTTCAAAATATAACACTTTCAATGCAAAATTACTGTGTAAATGAGTGTTTAGACAGTTTACAAAAGAACATGTAACAGTATTAAAAAGCGAGTTTTATTCACAATAGTTTACTTTGTATATAAAAAAACTTGAGTATTGCTGGAGTGCTTGTTGCTTGGTTCACAAGATTGCTTCACAATTTGACAGAGAGCATTGGTGAAACAACAGAATGGGCTAAGATAGCGTTGAGTATCTTGCCCAAAATGTGGGTGAAGGATGTGGTCAAGGCACAAAATATTCTATAATTTCAAAATGCATGCATCATTTGGGAATTGTATTTTATCCAAATGTCTGTTAGATTTTTAGAAGCAATACATTTATTTGGATTTGTAGAGGCAATAACAAAATAAATGTGGTCACTCAATCCACAACTGTTTGTGGGACACTGCTGTGCACAACTGGCTGTCGCATTTCTCCCATAAAGTATACAGTCAATCCACTTTACAATAAATTCTGAGCAATGCTTTGAGACATCTCAAGGACATTATAAGGTGTTATATCAAATGCTACAATTATTATTATAACATACTGTGCTTTTTAGATGTTGGACACGTTCACAGCGACCATTTATATTGAAGTTCAGTTCCATACATTCATGTTTTGTTAATGCAGCTACAACAACAACAACTTGCATTTATATAGCGCTCTTCACGCCGGGTAGCATTCCAGAGCCCTTGACAATGGCGGAGTGTGACACCGAGCCGGGGGGAGAGGGGGGAGAGGTGACCATAAGCATGATTAAAAAGGAAGGTCCTTAAGAGAGATTTGAACATGGTGAGGGACGGGGCAAGTCGGAGTGATTGAGGCAGAGAATTCCAGAGTTTTGGAGTGTAGTGCCTGAAGGCACGGCCACTGATAGTGGAGCGAAGGGGATGAGGGACAAACAGGAGGCCAGAGCGGAGGCACTGGGTGGTGGAGTGAGGGGTAAGCCGGTCGGATAGGTAGGGAGGTGTGAGAGCATGAAGGGATTTGAAAACAAGTAAGAGGATCTTGAAATTGATCTGTTCGGTAATTGGGAGCCAGTGGAACCTGGCAGGGACTTTGGAAGTTGACCCCATGTCTACGGATGACATCGCCAAGAGGGAGCTTGTAGATAAGGAAAAGAAGGGGGCCAAAGATGGAGCCTTGGGTAACCCTGCAGGTGCCGGGCAGGGGCAGAAGGAAAATACATTTGCCGAGATGTATTATTAGTGGTTTGTTAAGTAGGACTCGAACCATGCAAGTGCTGTCCCACTAGGGTGGATGAGGGAAGAGAGGTGGTGGAGGAGGATGGCGTGATCGACTGAGTTGAACGCAGCAGAGAGGTCCAGGAGAACGAAGAGGCAGAGGGAACCTTCATCAGAGAGAGAGAGGATGATATTTGTTACTTTGATGAATGCTGTCTCTGTTGTGGGCAGCGCGAAAACTGGACTGGAGGAGTTCAAGCAGGGTATGGAGGGAGAGGTATGAATGAAGTTGATTTGTAATGAAACATTCCAAAACTTTGTCTAGGAAGGGCAGGTTAGAGATGGGTCTTAAGTTTGTGAGGTTGGAGGTATCGAGATCGTTTTTTAAAGGAGACGAGTGATGACAGCGGTTTTGAAGGGGAGTGAGGCAGAGCCTGAGGAGAGGGACTGGTTGATTGTGTCAGCCAGCAGTGGGCAGAGGAGGGGAGTTTAGTGACTAGAAGCTGGGTGGGCAGGGGGTTAAGGCTTCATCTGGGTGATGATGGGGGAAAGGGAGGAGGGAGAGATAGGGGCAAAAGAGTGTAGAGTAGGGGCCATGTTAGGAACCGTAGAAGGAGGAGAGGTTGATGAAGGTGGCGTGGATGAGAGGGGTGTGGGTAGGCAACATGTGCAGGGAAGAGAGGAGGCAGCCAGGTGGATGTTATCTATCTTAGAGGTAAAGAAGTCCAGGACCTCTTCGCATTTGGTATCAGAAGTGCCCTTTGTAGTTTTAAATTTATTCTTTAACCTTTATTTTAAAAAAATTAAATATTCTAAAAATGCCATATGACCTTTAAATCCCTCCACTGTATTGGCCCACCCTACCTCTGTGACCAGCTCAAGCTCTATTGACCCAGCTGTTCCCTTCTTTCAGTGAGCCTGCATTATGTCTCCTGTTCTATCCACCCTGTCAATGGCAGTCAGGCAGCCCTTTTGCCCCCACTCTCTGGGACTTCATCTCAGAGTCCCTCCACCTCGCTCCCTCCCTCACCTCATTCAA